AGGAACGGCCCAAGGAGCAGGAAGGTCTCCCAGACACGGCCATCTCCTGCTCATGGCCATGTCAGTACTGACCGCAGCATGATGCATCGCCGCAGGGCAGACAGGCCACGCAGACGTGACTGGGTGCTGATGTGCTCTGGCTGCTTACATTCTCGAATAATATCATGCATGTGGTGCAGAACAGCAAAGAGAAATAGTTACATTTGACATTTTGAGGAGCAGAGAGGAAGAACTGTGGTTTAGTATGCTCCCTCCCACCCTCCTGCAGCAAGCCCCCCACAGCCTGACACCAAGCCTGTTTTTCTTCAGTCTGGATATCAGCACAGGAGACGTGAGTGCCAGAGTGTTTTGCAGTTTTGCCTAGCAATTATCTTCTATCTTTTGATAACATGCTGTACGCTACTCCTTCACACTCAAGAGCTTTCCTGCCACAGGCATTCTGTGAAGCAGCTCTGGAAACTGCTGTCCACTTAGTTTGGGGTTTCCTATCCTTTTTAAAATATTTATATTGGAACAACCTATTGAAATATGCAACTGTGTACAGCAAATACCTTGAAACAGGAGACAGCCAATTCAACTGCCTTCATATAAATGTTTTCTTGCTGCAGCAGAGAGAAGCCAAAATACAGGGCTGGACTTTAAGTTCAGACTTAAACTACTGGAACATGTAAATGAGTTTTTCCATTATCAGACAGAGCTTTATTTAGCCATTTGGGAAAAGATTCTCAAATCACACTGATGAGGCTAAGGAAGGTCATAGAAAATGAGAGAAAGCCTCTGTCCAAAAATCCTGTCCAAATTATTTCACTTTATAAAATTCTAAACATGGAAAAAATACAGGGAAGGATGATAATGGCAATCTTCATGAACAGCTGTGGGATACATTTAACTTGGAGAGGGATAACTCCAAAGAAGCTTTAAGCCATCCTTGCAATCCCCACGTTGGGTCCAGATGTGCCTATTCAATCACAACATATCTCACAGCATCCTGCTACAATTCAAACTAGTTATCTCTGACCCTGGGGCTGCTAGAGTTTACTACAAGCAGTGTGTGTTCCCTTGCAGCATCTCTATCTGTTGACAAGATGGAAAAAGAATGGAGAAGGAAGTTGAGGTCTTTTTAAAGCATTTAGTCCATTTTCAATTGCTTATAAAACTGTGATTCTTTATTGCATTTGGAAAGAACAATATATATTCATTTCACCTTAAGACTTCATTTCTCCTTCATCTTCCTTTGTACCCCTTGCATCACCTCTGCAGTATTTCCTTATTAGCTATGCCTCACTTGCTATTTAGAAGTCCCTTTATTTGTTGGAATTGCATCTCTGTGATACAATTTTATCAATTTTTTTCTTGAGAAAAAATATTACTGCATCAGGTGTTTCAGATAAATGAGAAGTTTATACATTTTTCTTTTGGTGTCATTTCTCCAGCAAATCATTTCAAGGCACTCATTCAACACACTTGAGCCGAGTGATGCTAATACCTTTTCTTTGGCTGATATGCTTTTCTTAAGTTCTCTGATCAGAACTATAAAAGTAACTGAAATGTGGCTTGTTCATGTCGGATGTGCAACAGAATCATAGAATATTCTGAGCTGGAAGGGAATTGCCAAGTCCAACCCCTGGCTCCCCACAGGACAACTCAAATCACAGAATCATAGAGACTGGAAAGAACCTCTGGAGATCATCTAGTCCAACTCTCCTGCTGAAGCAGGGTCCCTACAGTAGGTTGCACAGAAAAGTGTCCAGGCACATCTTGAATATCTCCAGAGAAGGAGAATCCACAACTCCCACCCTTTAGATATTTATACGCATTGACTAAATCACCTCTCAGTCTTCTCCTCCTAAACAGTCTCAGTACACAGTGTCAAAAGCCTTGCAAAAATCAAGGTGCTCTGCTCTCCACTCACCTATCCAGCCAGACACGGCATCATAAAAGGCTACCAGAATGGTCTAGCAAGACTTCCCCTTGATGAATCCATGCTGACTACTCCTGATAATCTCCTTCTCTTCCAATTGCTTGGAGATGACATCCAGAACAAGTTGTTCCATCACCTATCCAGGAACAGAGGTGAGGCTGATTTTCCTGTAGTTTTCTGCCTTCTCCTTCTCGCTCATCTTGAAGGCTGGAGTACACTGTCTACCCTTCAGTCTTCAGACACCTCTCCCATTTTGAAGACGATAGAGAGCAACTTGGCAATCACTTCTATCAGCTCCCTCAGTACTCATGGGTGCATCCCATCACTATCCATGGATTTCTGTGTGTTCAATTTGTCTAGATAATCTCTGATCAGATCCTCCTCATCAAATGGAAGTCTTCCTTTCCCCAGACTCTCTCCTGAGAATCTCCACGTCTGGGGTTCCTGAGGGGCAGTCTTAGCAGTAAAGACTGAAGCAAAGAAGGCATTCAGTAACCCTGCCTTCTCAGTGTCCTCTGTTACCAGGAGACTTACCTCATTTAGCAGTGGACTCGCATTTTCAATAGTCTTCCTTTTACTATTCATATACTTAAAGAAGACAACAGTCCCATATTTCTCTGAAATGGTCAGACCCTTTTTCTACATTCCACAGATTTGTTCCTTCATTTGAGTTTTTCCATGAGATCCTTGCTCATCAACGGAGGTCTCCTGCCACCTTTGCCTGATTTCTTACTCTTAGGGATCCACCACTCTTGAGCTTAGAATGTCAACCAACTTGTTTGGGCCCACATACTTTCCAGTGCTCTTACACATTGCCCTGTTTCTTCCATGTAAGATCTTGAGCTTCTCTATCTCAGAGTCATTGCATCTAAGGCTGCCTACAGACTTCACATTTCCAACCAATTCTTCCTTTTTTGTAAGAACAAGTTCCAGAAGTACATCTCTCCTTGTTGTCACCTGCACCAAATGCATGAGATAGTAATCTTGCATGCACTGCAGGAATCTTCTGGACTCTGTGTGCTTGGCGGTGGTGCTTTTCCAGCAAATATCAGGGTGGTTGAAGTTCTCCATGAGAACCAGTGCCCACAGTTGTGATGCTACCTTCAGCTATCTGTGGAAGACCTCATCAATTTCCTCTTCCTGATAGGTAGCCTGTAATAAACACTCACAGTGGTGTCGTCCACATTTGTATGCCCCTTAATTCTCACTCATAAGCTCTCCACTTTTTCGTTACTTATCCCTTGACAGAGATCCATACATTCAAGTTGTTCTCTCACATAAGGAAAAACTCCACTGCCCTGCCTTGCTGATCTGTTTACATTTAGCCATCCACAACAGCATTTGAGCTGTCCCATCATGTCTCCATGACTGCAATGAAACCATGGCCCTGCAGTTGCACACACACCACTAACTCTTCGTGTTTACTCCCCATGCTGTGTGCATTGATATACAAGCATTTCAGAGAAGAAAACTGAGCAGAGGACACAGGTTTCCCTAAAGGGATTTAAAACAATCCCCCATAGGTATACACACCCTTGAAGTGGCTGGCCTTCAGGCTCATGTAATATTGCAAGACATAATCTTGACTAGGCTACAGTACTGGAATATAATTGATACAAACAAAGCCTTGAGAGGTTTCTGGAAAAAAAAGAGAAGAGCCGTCAGCACAGACATGTTAACATCACTTGAAGTAAGCAAGAATCAGAGCCAACAAGAAATGTATTAGTTAAAATAATAGAGAAGGTGAAAGCTCCAGGACAAGGGAAAGCTCTCTTTCTCTTAGAATTTGGAATCCGCCAGATTATAATACTGTTGGGCTAAGTGCCATTAATACCATGTCAGACTAGACAAGAATCCTCCTCGGGCGCTGATTGGTAGTTGTAACAAAGGAATTCTTCAAAAGGTTAAATGAGGCAGCAAATACCCCAAGAAACAAGAAAAGGCTGGGGGACTATTTATAGCCACTTCGTATCTTTTAACTTTGCAAATCTGACTTACCTGTCAGTCAGGTAAGGCAATTAGCCCATTATTTTTACTGTATAGGAGCAAAGCCAAAGAAAATGTTGAAACTACTTAGATCAAGAGCTAACACCAAAATTTTGATCAAATCACTATACTTTGTACCAAGAATTTTGAGTTCCCAAAGGAAAAGCTAATTATGAATCTGACCTTTTTTTTTTTAATTATTTTTTATTATTATTTTTTAAGATTAAAATCAACATATTTAAACAAGATAGCATCCAACACATCTGACTGGTGTGTCAGTTGCTCATCCTAATTGAAACAATCTTGTGTTCCACCATTTCAAGAATAAATTCTCAAAATTTTCATCTCCTAATTCAAATTTGCCCTATATTGGATGCTATGAATAAATAAATAATTATCCTTAGAAAGTAAGATAGAAATTTTCACCCAGAAAAAGAGCAGAGCCACAATACAGCGACTAGAACATGAAAACAATTCTATGGCAACAATACTAGCAGAAATCGTAAATGACTAGGTTCAGCTGCCTAGACTTGTAGTTGAGGGCTGATAAGGTGCTAAACCCAGGCAGGCAGGGAGACCAGATCCAGAACTCAAGAGCTGCCATGATAGCAAGTCCTCAAAAAAGGCCAGAGATGCAAAGGCTGGTAGCCTAGGCTGCTCCTCCATCTCCAGGTCCACAATTAGACCAAGACTTACTAGATGACAAGAGTTCCCTTGGCTGGTACAAGAATGGACCTGTATTATCTTGAGAGGATAATGAAAAAACATCATTTGGAAAGCAAAATTCATGTCCACAGTCTTTCTTTACATTCTTTCAACCTGTACTAATTTCATAGTCCATAAGCAACCTAAGCAAACAGGAAAAAAAAGCTAGCACCTGATAAAACAAATATAAAACAACATCGAAAAGACAGAGATGGTTGTTTAAACTAAGGAAAGTGAATAGTTTGAACACGGTGATTGAGAGTGTTGCTCATGGCAGATTGCTGAAATGCTCTGTGTGTGCTTTTCTTCCATTTCTTTCCACAGAAAGAGAGGTACCTGAACATCACAATGCTGGGCACAGGTGACGCCTCCCTACGTTCTTGGTTGCCAGAAGTTTGCTGCCATAAGCCTGCCCTGGGCCTTCCCGGCAGGAAGTTACAGTCTTGCAATGAAACAGGAATCAGATTTGTTTATTCAGTAACAAGCACTGAAATTTAAATCTCAAAATACCCCACGGAAAATGTGCGCAAAGACATAAAACTCCAAGTTCCTTTGCAAAATTTCATCTAGGAACACACACAAATAAGGCCCAAATTGTTCAAAGAATTCTCTACACTTAAAGGGCAAATGTTAACTGGAAAAGTAATTTCAACTCATTAAACTTCTAATGTAATTACTCAGTTCTTCCAAGGAAACAGAATCATTTCTAGAACTCACCATCTGCCATGTCTAAATGGGTGTGGAACAGGAATATATATATGCACATAGTCATATGAGACAATATAAAATACACATATATAGAAGCCAGATGCTTTAGTAAAATGCTAAAACAGAAAAAGCACAAACTAGCCAAAATTTCAACTGCCAGAGGACATTTTCCAGGACTCCTGTTCAGAAAACAAAATTACAAGATTACTTATCCACTTACAATACTTAGGCAGAAATTACTGTAAGCAGTAGTAGCAGTAACAAATTACTGTAAGCAGGGGAAGCAGTAAACATGGAACCTGAATTATGGTCATTTTGCAGAATATAACAACATTACATTACATTTCAGTGCTTTTGTTTCTATGACAAGGAAAATGCAGCAAACAGTCCAGAAATGGACATAGCATTGGACACAGCAACTGTCTGACACCCATCCAAGGAGGAGTGGCTTAGAATAATTGAACTCTTCCATATGACGCAGGGAAACAGACCTAATGACCAATGAAGTGTTCCTTCCAAACATGTTTCTGAGATTATATGCTGATTAAATACCTGTTTGCATTGCCAGTTTATTTCCTCATTTTGCTCTAAATTCATCAGACTTACATCTGAATCACATATTGACGTGCATTATTATATTAGGACCTATGAATAACTGCCCACCCCCTTCGTATGTCTGTCCCAGACATTCCTAATCCTCCCGCAACCCTTTTCCTCTTAAGTTTAAAATAATTTACTCTCTCCACATTCCAACTGTAACCCTTACATACAAACCTCCACCTGAGCCTTGCATGCAGAGAGCAAGCATGAGCAGTAGGACATTCCTGTGGTGTATTCCCCACAGATCTACCAAAAAGATGCCCTCGATACACTGCAAAAAGACAAGATATGCAATTAGTTGACCAGAAAGGATCTGAACCAGGCTTCCCTGCTACCCATGACTTTCAAACTTCAAATAAACTTTCGAAGAGTAACTACCATTAGAGAAAAATCTGAGACAGAGCTTAGGGAAATGAGCAGCAGTGCACTCCCCTCACTGCTAGAAATGGTTTGTTTGGATTTTCTTTAAGACAGGCAAACAAAAGAGAGGTCTGAAATACCTCCTATGGGGTCTCAGGGGCACTGCTCAGAGGAGGATGGACCATGCAGCCGTTCCAGTGCTAATGCAAGACCCAAGCACTCTCATTCTTGGAGACATCGGCCAACTCAGGGTGAGCCAGGTATACAGCAGTAGGACAGCAGTGTTTCAGTGCAGCCTCTTTAGACCAAGAACTGGGTTGCTCTGAAAGTAATGCCTCCAATTTATTTCCATGGAAACTGCGACAGATTCAAAGAGAACAATAACATTATTTTATAAAGCAAATTCTCAGCTGCAAAACACACTTTTTCAGCATAGTCACTTCCGTACATTTTCTGCAGCAGTGGACATGAACCACTATGTCATACTCATAAAGATCTGCACCAGCAGAAGCGATCCACTGTTGCTGTCACTGCTGCTGAAACTTACCATCCACCTCACACTGTGCTCACAGCCACTGTTTGGTCTCCATAAATGTTCACAGGTGTCAATGAATGTAAATGAATGCCATTTTTTCTGCATGGAGGAGCTCAGTTCCAGTGCTTCATATGCACTTCCATGACATCATGGGGCAACATTATTGCATGGGAGGCATTGCTTTTGGAGTAACTCACATATAACATCCTGTATTCAAGCACCCATGTACTACCTGCAGCTAGCAGTCATCTTTACTATTGTCTACCCATTAAATCAATAGCTGCAGGAGGTTATTTGCATTGCCTGCACTCTCTTGGGGGAACACACAGTTCCTCTTTGCTTTTAAAATCTTGGCTAAACTGTGCATGGAGCATTGATTAATCCTTGGGAAGGAACACAAGCCCTCGCAAGTTGCCTGCACATGGCTGCTGAGAGCTACTGAGCAGCAGAGTGACTTACAGGTCAGCTTTCTCAATTTGGTTTTGGACTAACCTGCTCCATCAAAATATTTTAAATCTGTTACAAGTGTTCACAACAGATTTCTATAATTGCAGATTCACAGAATTGTAGGGGTTGGAAGGGACCTCTGGAGATCAAGTTCCATCCCCCTTCTAAAGCAGGTTCCCTACAGCGGGTTGCAAAGGACAGTGCCCAGGCAGGTCTTGAATATCTCCAGAGAAGGAGACTCCACAACCTCTCTGGGCAGCCTGTTCCATTGCTCTGTCACTCTGTCAGTGGAGCAACTCCTCCTCATGTTAATATGAAACTTCCTGTGTTCCAGTTTCTGCCCATTACCTCTCATTCTGTCTCTGCACAACACTGAAAAGAGCCTGGCCCCAACCAGTTGACTCCCACCCTTTAGATATTTATACATAGTGATGAGATTTCTCTCAGACTCCTCTTCTCCAGGCTGAAGAGTCCCAGGTCTCTGAGTCTTTCCTCGTATGGGAGATTCTCCACATCCCTAACTTGTCTTTGTGGCACCCTGCTGGACTCTCTGTAGGAGATCCCTGTCTTTTTAGAATCCTTCTCACCTGGTTGATGGAAAACAGTGGCACTCCCAAATTGGTGATACCACACAACTCATGTAAAAAGGAAAAATAAAAGTAATAAAAAATAAATGCAATAAAAGACACACATCACTGCATTGGAAATCTGTACATGCCAGTTCCCTACATGAATTCGGTAGCAGAACTCCATCTCAATCAGAATTGCCATTCATTCAATTTCAGCAAGCAATGGCTACAACTATAGTGACTATGAGAAATAGATCTCCCAATACCTGGCAACAAATCTGTACAGAGATTGTCGGTGCACTGCTGAAAAATTCCACACTCACCCTTTACTCATTGTTCTGGGCAAACAGCAGAAACTAATGTCAGAGGAGAACATTTCTGTGCCTTAAGTAAGAGTGCTCCCTTCTGGTTACAGGTCTGAAGGAAGATCTAAAGCACAGTAATTTCTTTTGCTAAGATGTAAATTCAGAAAATTGTGCACTACCATCTTAAACACTTAATTTAAAACAGACAGCTAGGATACACACAGATGCAAGCAGGGTATTTCAACATATCAGAGCCTCTCACTTCACACTCAAAACATGTAGAAACATGTAGGTAAAAACACTATTCGTAGAGGAAGAAAGAATACCAGAGAAGGGGCATAAGCACTTCAGCTGAAGATTCCCATTAATACATTTTCAAAAGCAATGGCTGCGCCATATCTCTGCAAACTTTTTATTAATAAGCAGCATTCATATAAACTTCACAATAAAATGAATACTAAATATTATCCAATTCTGGTAATTGTTTTGATTTTGTAGAAAAATAGTTATTCTTCAACAAGCAATTGAGCCAATTAGAGAATATGGTGAATAACAGCAGTGGTTTCTTTGCTCGAGACGCTGGAACTCAGTTTTTCAGCCAACCATACAGCTCAAAATGATTTCCAGCTGTCACACCTGATAGGCAAAGGAATGCTTATTTTGGTTAACAAAGTTTCCGTTTATGGTTTGGTAAGATTTTTATCCAGTCAGCAAACGCATTTCACATTTTTCTTTGACAAGCATGATTACTAACTGCAATGTGCACAGCCTGGGGGCAGTTTGACACACTTGAAAAAATAAGCAAATATGGGGCAACCAATGCCATTCTTATCTCATTTACCATGCAAAACCATATAGAAACAAACCAAAACTAATCATTTTTAACATGCTTAGGTAACACTGACTAGGGTTCATCTTAATAACATTTGAGAAGACAGTCCTTACAAAATACTGCTTTCAAAAGACACAAAATACGTTTGTTCATTCTTTTCAGAGTGACTTTTACTCTTTCTTGAGCCATAATTACTCTGCAGGCTTCATTTCTGAAAGTATCCTCCATAATCAAAGGTAAGTGGTTCATATGTAATTACTTTCATGTAATATCACAGACAAACCACAGTACGCGGGTCTCACGATGAAGTGGGAAAGTTTCACCCTACAAGCATGTTGCTGCCAACATTCCTCATGTCCACTCAGATGACTGCATGAAATAAATTTAACACTGTAACTACAGATATGATAGCTTCTCCCTATTTTAAGATAGATCTGCAAATATTTTATGATATTTTTTAAATACCATATTTCAGCCTTTAAAATGTTAGATAGCAAAACTTAAAATGTATTAACATTTGCTTTCTCAGCCATACCTTCCAAGCTTAGAAAGACAGTGGTACGTTATTAATCCCGACCAATCAGTAGAAGCAGATAGGAAGGCAAATTGCACGCTACATGACATGTGCTTCAGACACACGATCCTCTTCCTTTTCAAAGGCAAACACTGACCTCTATGGGTCAGTGTTGCACATGTAATGGTGCAAAATAGATTGTTGCCTTCGTGTTCAAACCACTTCAAACCTCAGCCCAGACCAGCTCAGGTTGGAAGAGACTTCAATAGATCAGGAGACCCAGCCTCACACACTGCGGGTGGCACCGAGCATGGATGGGACCCAAAAAATTTCTCCGCTGCGCATCAACATCTGAGATGGCAGGGACACAATGGCGATGCAGCCCTTGCTGTAGGGCAACAAGGAAGACACACCTTGAGGAACCAGGAAAGAAGAGTGCTGCAGGATGGCCACCTGAGATGAGGACGGCCTGCTCCTTATCGCTCTCCAAATAGGGTGCTACCTGTGCGTACGTGGCTCTGCCTGACAAAGGGACTGCACTGGGTGACCAACATGCAAAATAAAAAACAAATGCAAAAATATGAACTGATAGCTGGCCAGTAAGAAGATGGAAGTCTCACTCCAGTGATTTGAGAGCTACCCCCAGAGAACCTGCCTTGCTCTGTTGCAGAGGGCTGTTCTGAAAGTTTTTGTGAAGAACCTGAATGCAGGATAAAATTTTCAGGCTTGCTGTGCTTGGAGCTGCAAAAGGATAACATTGCAGCTTTGTGATGAACCAGACACAAGAAACTCACTGCTCTTCTTCCTGCTCCTCATTTTAATTTTCATCAAGTTAATGACAAGGATGCAAACAAGCAGAGTTTTCCTAATTGGTTTAGTATTGGTTTCCATGCCAAGACTTAATCCACGCTTTTGCAACAAAGGTCTATTGAATGATAGACATGATAAACAAGAATAATTTTGTAAATCTTCCTGCAAGTACTCATAATTAAGTACAAAACTATCACAAAATAACGCTAGTAATCAATTTAATAGGTTTCTTTGTGAAATCATGGCAAATGCTGTACTTGTTGCTAGCAGAGAAAACACAGTTTTACATTAAAAACCTTAAGAGCACCTTCTAGCCTAATGCTGTAGAAGTGATATCTCATCAAAAAAGAAAAAGAAAAAGAAAACTTGAAAAAAAATGTTAAGAAAATTATCAGTTGTAGATTAAACCACTTCAAAATGGCCTTTCTAGACTTCCTTATGCTTTTTGTCCATGCTAATTTAAAAGGCTCTCTCCATATGGCACACAAGGAACATACATATTTGTGATTTGTAGAAAGGAAAATCTAAAGGAGGTGATGGAGTTATGGCTGAGGTTGTCATATCCAGGCTTTTTCCTAAAATAATGCTGTCTCACAGACAGAAATGAATGCTAACAGTTTCATGTTGTAAAAAAAACAGATGAAATTGATAAAAGCACATGTTCAAAGATTTAAAAATAATTACACAGATTATCATACTCAAATTAGGTAATACTCAAACATAATGCAACTCTGTATTGAAAGAGAAGACCTGGAAGTTGATGAATTTACAGTTAGAAATCCCCTGCTTGCCCTCTTTCCCATAAATAAGTCTTCCTCCATTTGCGCCTTGGAAAAGCCCCAACAACTACTTCATTAAAATGAATTCTGCCTACCTGCTGCTGGCTGAAAACAGTAATATTATACATAAGTGTGAACTGCTCTTGAAGTAATCATCTTGCTTTTGCCCTTTGGAACACTTTGGAACACTACTAGTGAACTTTCCAATTTAATGGGATCTTCCACTAAAAATTAACAACTATCTCATAAAAAGACATTTAAATATCATGCAAGGAAGCGAAAAATTGAAGTACTTGAAATCTCTGAAAGCTAAAGTGTATCCGGTAGGAAACAGCCTGGGGCTTTTAGCAAATAGAAACCTAATCAAGCAAGAAAGAAAAATAAATGAAGAGAGAAAGAACAAATGTGTACAAATGCGAATCTGTGAGCTTTGAGTCTGCTAAGATAAATAAGGCAAACGTGCTGAAAAGTAATACAGATTTTTTGGGCCTCTTGGTCTCCAAGTTTCTACACCTGTAGGCCTCCCTTTGGCCGTTAAAGCC